TTAATAAGCTTTGTTATGCCAATTGACCTAGATGTCCCCTGAAAGCATGGTCCCCAGACCCCTACCCCTGCTACTCTGTCCCTCAAAGAGTTTGACTGTATTCAGGAAACTTCTTAGTTTTGGTTTAGCCCAATTGTGCTGACTTTCCCTGTAGTGAGTGCTGTCCTGCCCTTCACCTAAGATAATTCTTGTCTACTAGCTAGTTAGTAAATAACCCTCCTCCTCCCTCCCCACCCTCATAACCATCAAAGAATGTTTTCTTCTGTGTTTAAACCTTTTCTTGAGTTCTTACAATAGTGGTCTTATACAATGTTTGTCCTTCCGAAATTTCACAGGCTATGTCTCAAAAAATTTTTTTTAAAAGCACCCTATTTGGCATTCAGTGGGCCTTTTATTAATCTGAAGGCTTTTTCTCTCTTATACTCTGGGAAATCTTCTTATATCATTTGTTTTATAATTTCCTGTCTTTATATTCTATTTCCAAAATTTTTATTACATTTTAAATCTCCTAAGGATTGATCCTATTTTTTCTCTCATATTTTCCATACATCTTTTGTCTTTGAAGATTTTCTTGACTTTACTTGCTAACCTTTCACTAAATTTATTTTGTCATTTAAAGAATTTCCAACAGTGCTATTTAATTCTTTGTTTCTTTTCCATAACAATGCTATTGTTACTTAAAGAATGCAGTATCTTAAATCTATAAATCTTTGGGAAGATACCTACTCAGGAATCCACCCTAAATTATCTCTATCCCACAGGGTCAAATATTCTATTTATTTTGGTCTTTTGCTTATGCCCATTTATATTAACCTTTAGACACCAGGTTAATTTTTTTTTCAGTGGGTTTCCTCTGATGTTTTATATCTAGGTCTATTACTCTCAGAATTTGTTCCCTGAATGGGGATATCCAACTACCAGGCTTTGCATTAGTGTAAGTGGGTAGGACCAGACTTTGGGCTGGGCTGTCCCCAAATGCCAGCAATGGCAGAGCATTACTCTGGGGCTCTGGCCCGTAACTCAGCTGCCCTTGAACTCCCCAGGCAATTACTTTATTTATATTTTTGTAGGAATTAATTCTAGACTGTCTGCTTTGTTTGTGTAGGGGGTTGGGAGATGAGGCAGGGGAGGTACTTGCTGCAGTTCTTTAAATACCCCTCTTCCTGTTTTTGGCTCACTGCCTTCACTCCTATTCTCTGTACCTCTTGACTTTAAGCCTGATGCCTAGTGATGGGGTTCTGCCTGCCCGATACTTCCTCCTCTGTTGTAACACTCTCCTACACTTATGTTGGACTGTGGTTTACTCCATTTTGTTTCATCTGTCAACATACTTCTACTCATTTCCTAAAATAATTTTAAAACCCTGATGGTGCAATGGTTAAGCACTTGGCTACTAACCAAAAGGTTAGTAGAAAGGCCTGGCGATCCGCTTCCATAAAGATTACAGCCAAGAAAACCCTACGGAGCAGTTCTACTCTGTCACTTGGGGTCACCACAAGTCAGAATCAACTCGATGGCACCAAACAACAACGACAATCTGATGATGGTCTCTCTCTTGCTCTCTATGCTGTTATGGGTTTAATCACCATTTTTATTTCCTTACTATCATTTTAATAGGGTCTCAAGAAAAAGAGAAGACATACGTATGCTCAGGCTGCTATCCTGAACTGGAAGTCAGTCAACAGGTAGCTCTCCAAGCAAGTTACAGTCTGCTCACTCAGATTAAATTGTATATGCTTTAATATTTTCTTTGTTGTGTGTGAACATTTCTCATCTCAGTGACATGTTGATTTTATAAAATAACTGGCATAATTAATAAAAATAGATTTTCTTTTGTTATGCAAAAGGTTTTATGCTGAAACTCATATTAAGTTCTATAAGAAATAGACAAAATAGATAATTTATTCTATGTACATGTAATGAATTAGATGTTCAATTTCAATTAATGTAACTCAAAGAAACAGATGACTTACCCAGGAAAATGTCAACCAACATATTCATAGTAAACCTTCCAGAAGGACCTACATGTTTTATATTTCTCATTCCTTGTGACGAATTATGTTCTTGAACAAATCTTACAATGTTTTTCACATCCTCAGTCACATCTCTTGTCTTAAAATCCTATCAACAGAAAGAGATTACCTTTAGTTATAATTAAGATAATGATACCTAGATTGCTAGAGTTTAATATAAACTGTAGTAGTCTCATACTAAATCATTTCCAGACTAAAACCCAGACTAAAAACCAAGAAGCTGTGAGTGTTCATTCTCTTCTAAGTTTCTAAGTTAACTAATTGTGTAGAACAATTAGCATTCTATTATGCCTGTTTTATTACCGTTTCACAGACATACATTTTGTCTTCCAACTATCTGTGGGTGAGAATACCCTGTTTATTTTTTTAATCTTTCCTATCACCTAGAACAGTTCTCTGTTACTTACTGGATGATAACTTTTGGGATGAAAAACAATGTCCAACAATGTAAATTCATGAGTTCTAATCTCTTGAGTCTTCAATACCAGTCAGTCCTTTTATTTTCTGCTGTCAGTTCCCTTTCTCATTCCCCTCAGCTGTCTCTACCTTTGCCCACTTTTTAAAGTCCCCATTACTAGATGATTTCTCTGATCTAACTAGTTCCTATACCTGCAATACGAATTACATCAAGCTTCTGTGCCTTTGAATATGTCAGTTTCCCTACTTTCTAATCCTTGTTCGTCTGCCATACCCCAACAGCTTGAAGACCTCCACAAAACATTTTTTCATGTGTACTCTCGTAAAAGGACAAATAGGTTTCTTTTCTTATATTAGCAACTTGTAGTGATTCTGAGGTTTCATCAAGAATCAGCAAGAAAGAGTGCCCCATCACTCTGCAGCATCATTCCTGTCTTAATTCTTGGTGCTTCAGTACACAGAAATGATTCTCCCAACACCTTAGTCTTTGGCATCTTGTTCTCCTTGGCTCCAATGATCCTGCCCTTCATATATGTCGCCCCCACTCACTCCCATGGTCATACCTCCTACCTGACAACCTCTTCATTCTCTGACCACCACATCCTATCTTTCTAGCTCACTCCCTCCAGTATTCTGACTATGACAATCTTCTCATTCCACTGGGACTACCTATCCTTTGATCCTCACCCTCAGATGTCCAGTATCGTCCTAACTCAGCTTAAATCCAGTCAGTCATTATTACCTGTTGTGTATCCCCAACTCCCTTGCTCTTAGGTCACTCCAACACATTGCTTGGCAAAACACATTAGATCTGATTCCCCACCTATTCCACGTCTGTACCTTGGCAGCTGAACTTGGCTGGAGAAACACACACAACCATGCTGACTGTTCTCACTTTCAACATGATACCACAAACCTGAAGTGGACCCTTAATGTTGCCAGGTAATCATTACACATTCCAAGTCTATCACTTCCCCATTATTCTAGAATAGGGGTCAGCAAACTAAGGCCCATCAGTCAAACATCTTTTTTTTTTTTTTCAGTGAGTTTTTTTTTTTTTTTTAAATTGTACTTCAGGTGAAGGCTGACACAAACATCTATTTTTGTAAATAAAGTTTTATTGGAATACAGACATGCCCATTTGTTCATGTATTGCCTATGGCTGCTTTTGGGCTACAAGAGCAGAGCTGAGTAGTTGTGACAGACCTTATGGTGAGCAAAGTCTAAAGTATTTACTCTCTGACTCTTTAAGGTAAAGTTTGCTGATCTCTGTCCTAGATAACTACTTTATGCTTTTTCCTTTCTCCTTAATCCCCCTCCTATCCTCACTGTCAGCTGATGACCTTGCTTCCTACTTCATTGAGAAAACTGAAATAACCAGAACTTTTACAAACTCTCATTACTACATCTACTCACTTCCCAGCATCTAACCCCAATACTTTCTTATCTTCCCATCTGTTACTATCAATGAACTATCTAAGCTCCTATCTAAGTCTAATCTCTCTACTTACTATACACTAGATCCTGGTTGCCTACTCAAGGACACTGCTTCAGTAATTCTCCCCTCCTCCTTACATATCAATTTTCATTCTCTATAGGTACATTGCCATCAGCATACAAAGATGTTGCTATTTCTCTCTCTTTTCTTGACTCCACTTCCCCTGCCAACTACTGCTGTTTCTCTGCTTATCTTTGCAACAAAACCGGAAAGAGTTGTCTACACTCGCTATCTCCAATTTTCCTCTCAGTCTCTCTTAAACCCATTCTGATAAAGCCTTTGCCCCATTCCACTGGAACCAGTCAAGGTCGCCATGATTTCTGTGGTGCTCAATCCAATGGTGAATTCTCAGTCTTTATTGTACTTAGCAGCACCATTTGACATAGCATTGCCTCCCCCTTGAAACACTTTCTGCACTTGGTTTTCTTCTTATCTCACTATCTCTTTCTTGGTCTCTTTTCCTAGTTCCACCTTCTCTCTTTAACCACTTAATGTCCCAGGGCTCGGTCTTCAGTTTTCTTCTTTTGTCTAAACTTATACCCCTGAAGATTTCATCTGATCTCATGGCTTCAAATACTATCTGTATGCCAACCATTCCCAAATTTATATGTACCACCAGCCTCTTTTCAGAACTGAGTCTAACAGACAATTTAACTCAATATGCCACAAACTGGACTGCTGATCTTCCCTACTAAACATGCTCTGTCCACAGCCTTCCCCATCTTGGCAACGTCATTCTTCCAGCTACTCAGCCTCCAAAACTTGGAGTCATATGTACATTCCACGTAATGAAGAAATCCTTAAATATACAGCCAGAATCTGACCACTCTCACCATCTTTACCACTACCAACCTAGTCAGAGCCACTATTAGCATCCTTACAGGTCTTTCTGCTTCTACCCTTGTCTTTCTTCAGTGCATTCTCTGCCACAGACATCCTTTTAAAACCAAGTTAGATCACATCACTCCTCTGTTCAAAATTCTGCAAAAATCCTCATTTCATTCAGAGTAAAAGCTAAAGTCCTTACAACAGCCTACAAGGCCCTACTGCTCTGGCCCTCCATTTTCTCTCCTGCTCACTAACTCTTAATTGTACTCAGCTACATGAGCTTTCTTGCTATTCCTCAAATGTACCAGGATGCCCCCACCACAGGGCCTTTGTTTTGGCCAGTGCTGCCAGGAATGCCCTTCCCCAGAGAGCTGCTCAGCTAACTCTGTTACCTTCTCCAAGTCTTTGCTCAGATCTCACCTTCTCAACAAGCCTCCTCGGACCATCTTATTTAATACTGCATCCGGCACCCCTCTCATTACTCCTGTCTCCTTACTCTGCTGTACTTTTCTTTTCGCCACAGCTCTTATCCCTTAACATGTGATTTGCTATTATGCATATTGTTTGTAATCTGCCTCCCTCTGCTAGAATGTAAGCTCCAAAAGGGCAGTCATCTTGATCTCTTTTGCTCAGTGATGTATCCCAAACTTCTAGAACGGTGCCTGTTACAGAGCAGGTGCTCAACAAATATTTGTTGAATGAGTGAAGTGATGAACAATGTCTACAAGGTGGGGATGGCCGTGGACCTGCAGATTCTATATCAAGGGAGAGTAAATCACCCTCTGCTCTGGCTAGTGAGGCAGATCTCTGTAACTGTACCTATCACACAATTATATGAATCCATATATATCTTCTGTCTCCCCTCTAGTCTATGAAGTGGCCTGCACCGTGCTCATTAGTGAATCCCCAGCACCTGTCACAGAGCCTAGCACGCAGATTAATATTTGGTTTCCAAATCTATAAAGTGAGCATACTCTTTGCCCATTTATTTCATAGGGTACCTGTTAAATAATATATCAACTGTGAAAATGCTCTGTTAAGCTGTAAAGTACAGAAGACATTAAAATGCAGAATTACCATGATAGGTACAATTAAATAGCTAGTAAGTATTCAATTGAATTTAACCTTCCAAGGTTATTTTTAGGACAGATGAGAGCAAACTCACCCAGAAGCCATTACCATTATTCTTTATAGTTAAAAAAAAAAAAAAAATCAATTTATAGAATAATGTAATTGATCTGAATTCAAATACATAGTACACTAGTTATTATAACTCTTCTGAAAATGAAAGCTTTAAGTATAGGTTGAATTTAAAATATCCTACCTGCCTGAGGTGGACCATTTTAAATGTTCATTCTGCATATTCTGATATTTTAAAAATATCCTATAGTTATCAGTGCACATATATGAACCTCGGTATTTTGGACAGGTCAATGTCCAGTACATATTTTTTATACAGGCTTCTAATTCTAAAGGAAACAGATTCCACAAAATTATTTTTAAATGTTTCTATTCTAAATTGCTATGGTGAGGAAGCCATTTTTTCCTTGTGGAGTCCCTTGGGCTGCATCTACTCTTCTAACTTAAGAGAAGAAAGAAAAAATCTTGGTAATTTCCTTAATTATAAAAAATTTACAACTTTCTTATTTTACCTTTGTCTTACAGCAATTATCACAAGAAACATCTGGGTATTTCTTACAAAAATGAGGATTAAACTCGTTTTCACCAAAGTAAGCCAAAAGCTGTATTCTCCTGCATTCTGTTATATTTTCACAATAATGTACCATGCTGTACAAATTATTGAAGTGAGTCTCTTTTGTATGTTGGTTTCCATCTTTTTCCACTAAAGGAGATAAAGAATATAGTAAAATATAATTTAGTAGAGTAGAAAAAGAATATCACAGAAATACTTAAGAGTAGATTCATATAACTAAATATTTAATGAAGTGAAATAAATTATTATCAATAGCATTATATGCCAGTATGACATCACTCTATGTTATAATAAACTGGGTATTTATGTATATTCACCCCTCAAGATTTTAAGTTTTATAGGAATAAATGTTAGATTATTAAGAGCAGCTGAAATATTTTTGCAAATCTTCATTATTCATCATGATGAAGATATGACTTATATTTATTACATTTATCAGATAAGCATGTACTAAGCTGAACATCCAAAGTCAGCAGAGCCCTGAATCACGGCAGTGGACTGCACACCTCTCCAAGTATCTTCAGTCAAAGTGGCTAAGCCAGCGGTTCCAAAACTGTCTGCCAAGGAAGCCCAGATGCCACAGTGAACACCCAGGGGCGCTGGTAGGAAAATTTAATGGAAAGACAGCAATACTTGACATCTGTTAAACACTGTGTGAACTACTAGTTCAAGGGGGTTCATAATTTTAACATTAGATTGCACTACATTCTTTCCAATAACATCTTACTTTTGTCAAACTGGATTTTTGGCAGTTGCTATAAAAAGAAGTATCTCAAGAAAATCAATGTGAAATAGGAAATGAAGGTGACAGTGCCCAATTTGATCCCAAGGTTTGAGAATAACAGGTGCACATGTGCCATCAGTAAGCAATTGCGGTTATTTAAGAATGAAATAAAAATACTGTTTCTCTTCTAGTTTACGAGTATTATTTTTTCAAATGGTTACCAAGTTATTAGAACATATACGATTACTAAGTTAAAAAAACAAAACAAAACAAAACCTGTTGTTGTCAAGTTGATTCCGACTCGTAGTGACCCTATTGGACAGAGTAGAACTGCCCCCATAGGGTTTCAAGGAGCAGCTGGTGGATTCGAATTGTTGACCTTTTGGTTAGCAGCTGAGCTCTTAACCACTGTGCTACCAGGGCTCCATTACTAAGTTATTAGGACTTAAATACTTATTAAATTGTTTGTACCTAACTACTTCCTGGAAACCCTGGTGGCATAGTGGTTAAAAGCCATGGCTGCTAACCAAAAGGTCCGTGGTTCGAATCCACCAAGCACTCCTTGGAAACTCTATGGGGCAGCTCTACTCTGTCCTATGGAGTCACTATGAGTCAGAATCGACTCAACGGTAACAGGTTTGCTTTTGGTTTTTTAACTACTTCCTATAGGTTCTGTCTAAAAACATAAATGGGTAAACCAGATGTGAAAGTTTTATTTTCCACTGGGCATCATCTGGTATAGGGCAATGAACATGGACTCTGGAGTCAGACAAATCTGGGCTCCATCAGGGCTCTGCCAGACTTAATTAAAAAATCGTCTCAAAACAGTAAATATATTTAGGGAATATATTTAACCATCATAACCCAATAGAAAAATGGGCAAAGAACATAAACAAATTCTAAACTATGTATTCACTTTGACCCAGCAAGTCTTAGTCTAGAAATTTATTCTATATATATTTATTGTCCAAATGCCCAAAGATATCTGTACAAGGATGTTCAATATTACATTGTTGATAATAGTGAAAAACAATAAACAATCTAAATATCTATTAACAGGGGAATGGTTAAATAAATATGGACTACTCATACTATGGAATTCTATGTAGTCAAGCTATGGCAATTAGTGGGAATGCTAATTACATCACAATGTTGATTGCAAAAAGCAATTCATGTATGAAAAACACACATATAAAGAAATTCCATTCCATTTAGGTTTTAAAATAGATGTATTAGGGAACAATAAACACCAAATACAAGATAATGCCTACCTCTGATGGGGAAGTGGAAGGATGAGATAGGAAAGGGATATAAGGCTGTGTTTTATTTCTTAAGCTGGGTGGTAGTACATGGGAGTTCACTGTATTTCCTTTCGAGTTTTTGTATGTTTGAAAATGTGTGTTATATGTAGGGATGCATGCAGAGATTTGGCCTGGAAGGATATAAAAGAAACCAGTAACTGGAGTTATTTCTTAGGGCAGGACTACAAGGCATTGTTTGGGAATTTTTTGCTTTATACATGTCTGTATCTCCTGAGTTTTACATAGTAAGCATGTACTACTGTTATAATAGAAATGAATATAAATTTTCCATATCTATATAAACATCCCAATTATTCTAATGATTACTTAAGGAAAACTGGACCAAGAGGACCACACTAAGCAGGAGTAGATTACTATCACAAGACTAAAGATGACAGAATGCCTCCACAATGAAGCTCGGCTTACTCAATATAAGTCTTTTCAGTCTGGTCGCATCATGATAGGTATAGAAAAGCAGGCAGTGAGATATCTCCCCATCTCTTCCAGCTCTGCCAGATTCTTGGTAGTAACCCTCCACGGATTTAGGCAGAGACGCATGGATCACAAATCGCACATCCGGCTTGTCAATCCCCATTCCAAATGCAACTGTTGCACAGATAACCTGATGTGAAAGCAAAAGCCTATTAGACTCACAATGCATTTAAAGGTTTACTTTAATAATAGATGCTTCTAAAAGTTCAATTCCCTATTTTACTTTAAAATGTACTCTACACAATGACCTAATAGCTTAACTTACTCCCACTATTTAGCATGACCAATATGAGATTTTCATACTGATAATTTGCAATTCTACTGAGACTCAAGAAGATAAAGAGATGCTCAGTATGGCCAGGACTACCTTGTGTGATTCAGTATTACCACGTAAGGCCATCGGAATCAACTGTAGTCACCCCTGGATGTGTTGCCACTGTTTGTTCTCTTATGTTTTCAGTATTGAGGTGTGAGGGGTGTTGCTCACACAGCCATGATATCCAGGTCAGTGATCATAAACATGTTGCTCAGAAGATCTGGGATGTTCCCAGGGCTTGCGTTTCACAGGTAATTGCTGCCAACTCTCTGATGAGTCAGGAACAATGGCATTCCCACTTGCTCCAGTGCTTACCATCAGTTTTCCCAGTGGCACAAGCTTATCATACACCAACTCCTTTTTTAAAACATTTTGTTGTTGTTGAGAATATGCACAGCAAAACATATACCAAGTCAACATTTCTGCATGTACATTTTAGTGACATTGATTATATTCTTCAAGTTGTACAACCATTCTTAGCCTCCTTTTCAGAGTTGTTCCTCCTCCATTAACATAAACTCACTTCCCCCTAAGGTTCCTGTCTAATCTTTCAAGTTGCTGTTGTCAATATGATTCCATATAGTTCTTAAAAGAGCATAATGCTCAAGGCAGATCTTTTTTACTAGTTAAGTTAAACTATTGTTTGGTTTTAAGAAGACTTCAGGGCATATTTTTGGTTTAAGGTTTAAAGACTATCTCAGGGCAATAGTTTCAGGGGTTTATCCATCCTCCAAGGCACCAGGAAGTCTGGAGTCCATGAGAATCTGAAATTTTGTCCTGCATCTTCCCTCTTTTCATCAGGATTCTTGTATGGAATCTTTGATCAAAACATTCAATAATGGTAGCCAGGCACCATCCAGTTCTTTTGGTCTCATGGCAAAGGAGGCAGTTGTTCATGGAGGCAATTAGCCAAACATTCCATATACTCCTCCTATTTCTGATGCTCCTTCTTCCTCTGTTGCTCCAGGTGAATGGAAACCAGTTGTGCCTTGGATGGCTGCCTGCAAGCTTTTAAGACCCTAGGCACTACGCAACAAACTAGGAGGTAAAGCAACAAACTAGGAGGTAGAACAGAAGCACTAAATACATTATTAGGCCAATTAACTGGGATGTCCCATGAAACCATGATCCTAAACCTCCAAACTAAGAAACCAAATCCCATGAGGTATTTTCTTGTACACAAGCAGTCTCAGCAGTTACTCTTTTTTCGGTCATTGTTGTAAATATATCTATCACACAACTTTTGCCAGTTCAACTTTTTACCGGTGTACAACTTACTGACCACAATTACATTAATTTGGCTGTGCAACCCTAACCTTAATCAATGTGATTTTTCCATCATCAACCCCTCTTTTCTCTCTCCCTCCTGCCCCTGGTAACCACTAATAAACTTTGTTCTCTATACATTTGCCTTTTCTTGTCTTTTTGTATAAGTGAGGCCATACAATATTTGTCCTTTTGTGATTGGCTTATTTTGCTCAGCATAATGTCTTCAAGCTCTATGCACACTGTAGCATGTATCAAGACTTCATTTCTCCTACTGGATGAGTAGTATTTCACTGTATGTACATTTTGTTTATCCATTCATCTGTCAATGGGCATTTAGGTTGTTTCCACCTCTTCGCTATTGTCAACAGTGCTGCAATGAACATTGCTGTACAAGTCTCTTTTTGAATCTCTGCTTTTAAGTCTTTTGGGTATATACCTAGGAGTGGAATTTCTGGGTCATATGGTAGTTTTATTTTTAGTTTTTTGAGGATCTGCCACACTGTTTTCCACAATGGCTGCACCATTTTGCATTTCCACCAGCAATGAGTAAGAGTTTCAATTTTCTCGCATCCTCGCCCATATTTGTTATTTTCTGTTTTTTTTTTAAAATATTAGCCATCTTAGCTGGAGTGAAATGGTATCTCATTGTGGTTTTTATTTGCATATCTCTCATATTTAACTACGTTGAGCATCTTTTCATGTGTTTGGTGGCCATCTGAATGCCCTCTTTGGTGAAATGTCTATTTAAGACCTTTGCCCATTTTATGACTGGGTTGTCTTTTTGTTGTTGTCAAAGTTTTACATATTTTTTCGTTATTAGATTCTTGACAGATAAGTGGTTTCCAAAGATATTCTCCTAGTCAGTAGCTTGTTTTTTCACTTTTTTGTTAAAGTCTTATGATGAACAAAAGTTTTAATTTTTATAAGGTCTCATTTATTTTGCCTTTTGCTTTTTGTGCTTGTTATTATATTAGATAATCAATTGTTGAAAGCTGCACCTGAAAGCGTTGCCCCCGCTTGTTTTTCTAAAAATTTTATGGTTTTAGTTTGTATATTTAGGTCCTTAATCCATTTTGAATTTGGAATTTTGATCGGGATCGTGTTGAACCTATAGATCCCTGAGTACTGCCTTTGCTGCATCTCCTAAGTTTTGGTATGATGTGCTTTCATTTTCATTTGACTCAAGAAATTTGTGATTTCTTTCTTGACCCATCAGTAGCTTAGTAGTGTGTTGTTTAATTTCCATATGTTTGTGTATTTTCCAGGTTTTTTCCTGTTACTGATTTCTAGCTTTACTCCGTTGTGGTCAGAGAAAGTACTTTGAAAGATTTTGATGTTTTTAAACTTATTCAAGACTTGCTTTATGACCTAAAATGTGGTCTATCCTGGAGAATGATCCATGCGCACTGGAGTAGAATGTATATTGTGCTGTTTTGAGGTGGAGTATTCTACATACGTCTGTTAAATCTAATTGCTTTGTAGTGTCATTCAGGTCTTCTGTTTCCTTGTTGATCTTCTTTCTAGATGTTCTGTCCAACATTGAAAGTGGTGTATTGAAGTCTCCAACTATTATTGTAGCATCATCTATTTTTCCCTTCAATTATATCAGTGTTTGCTTTATATACTTAGGTGCTCTGATGTTGGTGAATATATACTTATGATCATTAAATCTTCTTGATTAATCGACACTTTTATCACTATATAATGTCCATCTTTATCTCTTCTAATAGATTTTGTCTTAAAGTCTACTTTGTCTGATATTAAGATTGTCACTCCAGCTCTCTTTTGGTTATTATTTTCATGGAATACTTTTTTCCATTCCTTCACTTCCAACCTATTTGTGTCCTTGGGTTTAAGGTGTCTCTTGTAAACAATATATAGTTGGATCATGTATTTTTATCCATTCTGCCACTCTCTGTCTTTTGATTGGAGCATTTAGTCCCTTTACATTCACTGTAATTACTGATAAGAAATGACTTACTTCTGCCATTTTGTTATTTGTTTTTTGTGTGTCTTAAGCCCTCTTTATCTTTGTCCTTTACTACTGCTTGCTTTTGTGTTTTGTTGGTTTATTGTAGTGAGCCTTTTTGCTTCCCTTCTCCTTTCCTTTTGTGTATGTTTTTTATGTATTTTCTTAGTGGTTACCATGAATATTGCATTTAAGAGCTTGTATTTATAACAGTCTAGAGTAAGTTGGCACCAACTTGACTTCAGTAACATACAAGAAATTCTAGATCTATACCATTCCTCTCCTCTCCCTTTTGTTGTTGTCATCACTAATTATGTCTTTATATTTCATGTGTCCTGTAACATAATTTTATCCTTGCACTTTATGTATTTGTTACTAAAAACTATGAAGGACAAAACATTTAGAATTATCAAGCATGGATATCTTATACTAGACACCAACTCCTTTTATTCATCAGCTGATTTCAAAGGCAAAACTTGTAAAACTTTTGTTGAAACTCATGTGGGTAAAAGAATGAGTGTTGCTTATACTAAAAAAAAAAGGCTGGGGACTGTGGATCTTGTCCCATTTAAACTACTTAAGGGAAGCAAGGTGATAGTTAAAATTCAAGAGTTTGATCAATTGATTGTTAGCAAAAAATCATTTTCAAGAATATCCATTTCAGTTGCAAATTTAGGGCCTATTTAACCCAGACGAAAACGTTGTATCTCTAGGCAAAATTACATTATACAAATAAAGCTGCAAGTCTTCTTTTAGCACTTAAAAAAATGAATTGCTGCTGCAAGAACAGTATTTCAAAAACAACTAAAATATCTGGCAGCCAGACTGAGGCTAATGACATGATTTCAGTAACTAAGTACCAGAGAAAGGAAATGCAATCTATGGAATATGTGCACAATAAATGGGTACATTTATCGACTAGGGGAATGACAGCGGCCTGCACTCTAGGTTAGTCATTCATCTAAATTTATGGCACTTTGATCAAAGTGAAATCTCCCTGAAAGAGAAAATCCACTAACAGAGCAGGCACAGAGGTATGCCAGTCCAGAGGGTGGCCATATGGCAAGGAGCTGTAGCTGGCCAGCTGGGTTACCTCAAGCCTGGTACATCTCCAAAGGTCGATGTGGGCACACGACTCTGAGGCAGAGTCTGCAAGGTCTGAATGAGGCCACGATGACGTCAACTCTTTCTGAAAGCTCTTATTTCTTGTAACTGGGAAAACTTGCTTTGCTGAGTTGTCACTTCCTTTTTCACTTCTGTGTTGTTTTTTTAAAACTTCAGGCAACAATCATTTCTTTGTGAAGAAAAACACCAAGTTTTATTCTATCTCACAAATCTAACAAGATAAAGGCTGTCCAGTTGGTGTTGGTTTAGGTTAACATTATACTTTGACTGTAAGAATTAGCTAGCCTGAGAGTGTAGCAGTTTGATTATAAAGACACAAAACAAAACAACCCTACCTCACCAATTCTTTCTACCATGTTTAAAAAAATTGAAGAGATATGTAAATATTCTATCTATCTATCTATAAAACCCATTGCTGACGAGTGGATTCTGACTCAGAACTGCCCTACCA